TGATTTGAAAGTTTCAAGCTCTCCAGGTTCCTTCTCGTTGGGGGGGGCACGTTCCTTGAATGGAAGTCCTGGTGTTCGATGGCCATTTCCCCACGAGGTGCACGTCGGATTCTTCAAGATCTCTAGAGATCTTAGGACGCGTTTGTAGCCGAGCGTTTTGTAGCGCCTTTTATCGGCGCCGGTGTTTGCCCCGCTTGACATGAGGTGACATGAGGTGACTGAGACGGTGTGCCCAACGGCCACCGTCCCTAGTCAGCATCTCTGACTTGCGAGTCGTGGGCAAGCACTAGGTGAGGAAGACCTCCCATCATATCCATGCACATTCGACTTGCAACACGCAAAGCGAAGGGAGAGTAGGGAAATATGTTGGATGTCCATCATTCGGCTTGAAAAACACTGTCACATGTCTCCCAGTTTTTATCAGCAGCTAGTTGATCTTTCCCGTGAACTCTTCAATCCTCTGGAAACAACAAGCCACAAAGCCTTAGGGCTGTAGTAATATAGACCACCTTAAACCCCGATTACGTTTGCCGGATATTTGTTGGCGCGCACTCGATGCAGGTGTGGAGAAGAGCATTCAGAATCAACCGTCCAGTGGCACTGCAATCAATGGATACCTGGAAGCAGAAGGCATTCTGATTACACTAGCTTCAGCTTCTTTCGCATCAATCTTTGGACATCAAATGGTGATCCACTGGTCGCGTTGGCACTGTTGGCACCAAGGCGATCCACCATGCGTTCTAATGTTGAAGGACAGTTGAAGGAGCTTGACCCATATGTGTGTTTGCTGTTTTTTTGAGGATCTTGGAGATGGGGAAAAAACACTATATATATATATACAGTGTATCATAATATACATACATTATACATTTGTATAATCATCTTGTTTTGTTTCACGCATTGGCCATCTACTTGGCCCTCGACACTCGGGGTTCAAAACTCAGGATACGAGCATGTCTTGGATCCACCACTGATGATGCGAGATGTCAACTACTGGCTCAACTATGAGCAGCCTGGCCCGTGCAAATGGCTCACAACGACCGCGAGTTAAAACTGAATCCAAATCAATGCCTTGAGCGCTTTTGCCATTCAGGGAATTCCTCAAGAAATGGCAGCAACAGATCGAGATTTGTACCGCCAGAAAACAGATGATCACACCATCACCCTAAGAATACTTGCACCCGCCAGAAAACCGGGGACGGACCCTCCAGAAAACAGGAGTTTTGGATCCTTAGGGCAAGAATCTGGCCTATTTACAACCTACTAGCGATAGCCTCCAACCTACTAGCGATGGCCTCCAACCTACTAGCGATGACCTCCAACCTACAATATAGCGATGGCCTCTTCCAACCCGTTGCTGTTCCGATGTGCTTGACCCGTTGGTGTTCCGAGGTTGGCCAAGGAGCCTGAACCGCGAATCACCTGTGTGAATGGCGCGGTGGAAGAGTCCTGCATCAGTCAGCAACCTGCCGGGGGAGTCAGTTTTGCGATTTCCGGCGCGCCCGGCACTGCAGCAGCTGTGTTTTTTTGCTTTTCAAGAGTGTCCGCATGCTGTTCAGATTCCAATGGTTGTCTTTTTCCCACATCACTGTTAGCTTTTTTTCCCACGGCAAGAAACGCATATTATATATATATATATAAAGCAGGATGTTTGGCTGGCATGTTTGAGTGGCATCTTCCACCGATTTTTCTTTTTCTGCCACCGGTGTTCGGTCAACTGCGACGCTCCGACGCTCCGGCTGAATGCGACGCCATCGGTCCGATGCCACAAGGAGAGAAACGCAGGGGCTTTTGGACCAGGCCGGTTCTGGGTGGACACCGAAAAGACTGTTGCTTGATGTTGTGAGATTTGCGAGGGTTTGGACTGACTCTGAAGAGCACCAGCCAAAATAATGTGCTGTTGAATGGAATCGAGCAGAACTGTCCTTTTTTGACAGCTTGTTCAGAAATGAATCCGCCATGGTCAGGATAAATTCATCCGCGACAATATCACAGAAGATGATATTCTGGTTGTGGATGTGGGTGGAAATGATGTTGCCTTGCGGCCAACCTGCGGCATCATCTTCAACATGGCATCCTGGTCCAACCACTGATTGAAGCAGACGGCTGTTCGTTGGGCCAACTGCAGCATCCGGTGAATGCGGTTAGTTGGACAGGGTGGACTCCGTGGACTGCTAGAATTCGCGGGAGCATCTCTCACAGTAGCACAGCCACCTATTTGGGGGAGCGGTCGTGTAAAAGCCTTCCCAGACACCCGTGACCGTTGTGAAGGTTGGTGTCAGAGTGACAGGAGCGAAACAACCTATAGGAAACTGATGATTTTTGTAGCGTTCCTGGGTGGGAGGATCGCCAGAAGAATGCACTGAGAAAAGAAAAGACTACGAACCGTTCTCCCTCAAGAAGGACACCTATTGTTTGTTGGGGCTCCAGCTGCACTTAGCACAGCGCTTACAAAAAACATCGGAAGCGTCTTGACTAGGAGGCGGCCTCCAGCTTCTTCAGTTCGTGACCTTGGAGTCACCATCAAAGTGACCTTTCGGCCTGTGACCTTCACCAACCGGATCAAGTTCGGAATCGCGGCTCCACATGTGATGCCTCCTTCCATACCAAGGCATGGCTCCTCTATCTAACTCCAACGTGTCTCATACGCTGCTGTCCATGGTTGGCGCCCGGCATGTGGTACTTCTTCTACATGTTCCGGGTGAGGCTCAGGCGTATCATCGACAAGCTGATTGCCAAGCGAAAGCCCAAGATGATTGTGCTCCCTGACGGTTGGCAGATTTTTGTTTCATGTTTTCTTGCAAATGCACGGACTGGTGGGACGCCTGGATGAGTTCCTGGAAACATCTCCACCTGAAAAGCCAGATGCCAAGATGCCAAGATCCCTTCAATGTCGAGTTACGACCAGAAATGTCCAAGGCGGCACTTGACCATTTGTGGTTTCTTCTCAGCTTGTGTTTTTAGTGATCCAGAGCAATTTGGGGGCGGCTGTGTTTGTTCATTTGGCACTGCTTGCACATGACCGTATACTGGATGCTATCTCAGTGTCAATCGACACTTATGAAAGTCCTAGTAGATTTGCACGCTATGAATAGCTTGTCAATGAAAGACTACAGAGAGACTGTCATTTGGGAAATTTCCTCAGAGGGAGACCTGGGATGTTCAGTATACCGGCTTTGTGTACGGGTGGAATAGCGGGTCCGACCACATCCTAGATGGCAACGAGTGGTTCCAAAGACTAAAACCACAGACCTATAGAAGTCCTAGTTCCTTCTATATAATACAGTGGCAATTGGGATCCTACAACCGATCAATCCAAGCTACTTCCCTCAGTTTCCTTTTCCTGAACCACATCCAGTCCTGCCCGGGTCAAGTCCCGCTTGTGTCCGTAAGGATTTGCATGCTGTATTTTCTCGATGAGCAGCCGGGCGGCAGCTGGGCAGATGGCACCCTGCAAGCTTTGGGCTATGACACCAATCCAGACAAGCTCCTTGGTGAGACCGCGACCACGAGTTGGGGGTGAGGACAAGGGGAGAACATTGGTGGTGGCTTCAAGTGATGCACCCCCCTTGCACCTGGGGCGCCTTGCTTTGATTTGGGGTATGACTCGTAGACGTCGCATCCAACGCTCTGGGACGATCGATCTTTCGCCATGATGACCCCAGACGTCGCCCTGGCAGACTTGAGGCTTCAGACGGTGATGCGACAGGTCTACCACTGGGGCATCTCACAAATCAATATCCCCAACACCACGGCGGCTTGGACGCAGCCGACGGTGGTGCTCGGTCCGGGCGTTTTGACGATGCGCCGTTGTTCGGGCGGCACAAGACAAAGCTCTGAGAAAGTGAGAAAGAAGAAGAGCTCATCCCAGGAGTTTCAAGGGGGTGCTTCATGGAAGTCAGGGTTGACACCCACTCACTAGATGGGACTCAACACCACCTCTTTTGACCCCTGGTCCATATGTTCGGTTCTTTTTTGGGGGGGGAGCATCCTAGTCTTCACAACCATTTTGTGGGAAGGTTACTTCTTCCCGAAACGAACGTGGGACCCCAACTGGTCTGGCAAGATCTGGTCACGCTTGAAGCGTTTTGCTGGTTTTCTTAATCCCACGTAACTAATGATTCATGATATTGAATTGTATTTATTTATCTATGTTTACATAGCTTACAGTTTTGACATGCTTTGAACCAAACTCGTGTTCATACGATTCGTCATTACAGTTTTTGGTGAACAAGGCTGTTTCTAGTAAATGTCATGTGCTTTAATGATTTTGGCACTTGTAAGTTCCCAAGATGCATTGTCAACGCTGTCACTGTCAGATGTATATATGTTTCAACAAGGCCCATTCAGTTGTGAACTGGGTGTAGTCAGACGCCATTTGACTTGAGCTTGCGAGTTTGAAAGAAGCATCTCCCACACCCCAATCCCCCGCCGCAAAAGAACATTCTAATTGCAACATACACCCATACAAGACACCGTGGTCCACAGCAATCACGTGCATTGCTAACAGCTAGCGAATGACCACAAAGGAACTGCAGGATTTGTGTTCGGTGTCCATCCATGTGCCCGTGCCCTACCCTGTGCTCTCATCGCCTGCCTGCCTCATGGTGAGGTCGTGCCTCTTCCATTGTATGAGGTGCTGGATGGAAAGGACCTTTGCTCCGTTGAGAGGGACCCTGGCTGGCTGTGTGCTCATTTACATAAAAAGCACACCTGGGCCCCTTCGTATTGAGACGGCCGCCCTTCCAGAAGAGCCCAAGTTGACATCCAAAGCGCCCAGAAACATAATGAAAAATGGAAAAAATGGATCCGCAAGAGGAGTTGGTCCACTTGGTGAAGTTCTTTCGCATGTTTTAACCGATTCTTTAGGGCAATCCTTTGAACCCCCCCGAGCCGTGCCCCGTGACACCGCAGGACACCCAGGACTACGTGGCGCGAGTGGAGCCCAGTGACCAGGGCGGTGCCAAGTTAGCCCAGGCCATCCGCGCAGCCATCGTGGGCCGCGAGTGATGAGGCGGAGCGCGGGAGAAGAGCGCAAAACGCGCTCGCGGCGGTGGGAAGATGGGAAGAGCACGAGACTTGTTGTTTTGGAAGGGGGCCACCCCAGACTTGTCACTTGTCTAAGAAACGAACTATATATATATGTTAATCTATATTAAGTATATAATATATCATAGCTATATTTGGGGTTGTTATTGTGTGAAGATATGTGTGAAGATTGTGAAGTTGAAGATGGTTTGATTGATTTACCATGCATTTGGAGGTAACATGGGAATGCTTTTAGTCTGAGACTCCCACACCTGCATGGTAGAAGGACGCATGGACTATAATATGACTACATCAAATTTATTAACTGTTGGGGTTGGGATTCTCTTAGAGGCACACCTGTGTGGTTTTGTTCATATCCTTTAGATCTAAAGGACTCCCACAAAGACTGGTACTTGAATTCGCGAGTGTTTGTGACTCCGATCGCTGGAATTGCTGGAATTGGTGGCCCAAGTCGGGCCTTTGCTGTTTGATGCCTTGAGGAGCAAATTCCTGCCACGGAAATTCCGACCTGGCGCGAGACGTGAGGTGACACACGTGGTGTGAATAGCTTGTTATTTCTCGACGAGAGTCGAGAAAGAGTCAGTGCAGAGTGTAGATGGCAGACGAGACGAGTTTCTCCAAGATGAAGAGCAGGTTGTATTCTGAAACGCTTTTGGAGTTAGAAGTTTGCGATGAATTCTTGGGGTACAAACCGTGTTTCATCAGACCAGGCTGTAGGGCCAGTCGCCTTGGTGAGTGCCAGATTGGAGCTAGAATACCAGGGTGGCACTGATGTCAGAACTCTTGTCATGGATAGTTTTCATGACCGGCAAGGCACCCGGCGGCACACCTCAACCAAAACACCACCAAAAACACTGCTGGCACTCTTGGTTTGTGTGAGTCCCAGGACGTTTACTCGATTGTTCATTGCTCTGAAAATTGGAGAAGGAACCCCAGTTTCACCCTACCTTGTGCAGACGGGGTGTGAAAAAGGGTTTGAGCAGCTGGAGAATGTTTAATTTGAGCAGCTGGAGAGCACGTTTGGAGCTCCAGGCACTGCAACAAGCGCGGGGCGTGGTGCGATGTTTGTTGGTCAAGCTGTTGCGGGAAAAATGGAGAATAAGGTAGGAAGAAGGTAGATGTGTGTTCTCCTTAAAGCTAAAGCCCCAATGTTGTTGGGCCTACCCAGTCCTGAACAGGTGAGGGACGTCCTGAGTGAGGGAGGAGTCAGGTCCTGGCGCTATCGCTACTATGGAAGAGTGAAAACCCACCGAAACCTGGATGGTAATGGGTCATTAGACCTAGTCCGGTAGTCCGGTAGTCCATTCTCTTCACCTTGGGAGGGTCAAGTCTTGGGGCTGTGAGCTATATCCCTTTTTGCTTCACATCTCTTAGCATACTTGTAGCCTGCATTTTCAGGATCCCTTTCTTTGGGCAGACCACCTCCCCCCGGTTTGGGCGTTTCATCCCCCAGAGCCGAGGTGGACAACATCACTCACCTCGACTTGCGCGGCAATCGCCTCAACGCGGCCTTTGGATGGAAGCTCATCAAGGCCGCTAGAATCGGCGAGTCGTGTTCACGCTCCGATGGAGTGTGCCCCATGTTTTGGGCCGAAAAAGGCGGGGATCGAAGTGGCTGAAGTATAGATGTGCATGGAATTCATGGGAAGAGGGAATGGTACCAGGTTACCTGGTATATGCTGTATGGTGCTGGTTACCAGGTTACCAAGTAAGGCTTTCCCCACTACTGGTGTCCACCCGTACGGCCCGAAAAGCAAGGTGCAGGGTATAGGCCCAGGTCATCGGAAAGAGGTTGTGGCTAGGTCCTACTGGACTGGACTGGTCCCTGACCTTCCTTGGTAAAAGCAACAAGTCACTGTGCCACTGTGCAAATGTTCAGCGGTTGGTGGTGGTTTCAGCTGGGGTATTTGTATTGAATCGAACTGAACTTGCTTTGTTCCGAGGTTTTCACTGAAATTCAGATGATCTTGGTTCTGATGTGCGGTCGCTTCGGCTTGGCGTGGAAGCATTTCAGAAAGTCTGGTCCTTCCGATCCGACTCACCCCTAACCGGTTTGCCCCTCGGTCTGTGTGTGTGTGACCTTGAAGGATGCATCCGTATACGGTGTGTGTGTGTCACTCTCTGTTTCTAAGAGTTCCGCTTTCCACTCAACTTGTTTCAGCAGGGGGGCGTCAACATTGTTGAACATTTCGGTTGAGCTGATTTTGCGCCATTCCGTTCCCTCACCTTTTCGACGTGGAACAGAGTTAACTGAAAACCCTATGTCTAAGTGTGTTTTGACCCTGTTTTGTCTCCGTCTTGGTCCCACAGGCCATGAAGAAGAAGTACCTGAACCTGGAGTTTTGCCATGCTCTTAGCTCGCTGGGTCTCTCTGACAGGCAATGACCGAAGATTTGGGTCTCTTTGTGGGTGAGCGAGCTGCATGTTCAGAGTCTCACTTCAGGCAGCAAGAAGAGAAAGGCAACATCCATGGCAACTCTTACTTCACACATCACTCCAGCAACTCGTCCCCACGAAGAACGAATCCGCAGGTAATGGTATCCCACTGCGGGCCTTGCGCATGAACTCCATCGAGGTTTTGGACTTGCCCGGCAACCCGTATGGGACAACTTCAGACCGACGAGACGTGAGACGTGACGTGACGGTTCACTCGTTGGTTTGAGACGTGGTTTGGTCGCAAGACCGGTGGTTTCAGAGTAGATGGCGCAATCTCCAAATGATATATGAAAAGGTGGTTCATATGGACCTCCATATAATTTTCATTTTTGGGTTTGGGCCATTTGTTCTGAAATCGGCTTAGCACTCTGTAGCCAGTCACGAAGTAGTCCCTGGGTCACAAATTCCTCGCAGGTATTCGAAGGTTATGTTCATGTTGTCTTCTTGCGGTGATAACTATTATATATAAATTACATGCAGGGACCTCAGGTACCTTTCACAACTTTGTGGCCATACCCATCTTTTTGAGGACAACAAGGGCTGATGGAAAGGTCCTTAAGTCCTTGCTCGAGGGCCAAACACTGAACGAAACGAGGATTTGAGGAAGAATTGATGTGGCCATTTGGCTAGGATTGGCACTTGAAACTTAACCAACCACAAAGATGAGTAAAGTGAGGAGGATGTGTTTCTCATCTCAGTGGGAGTGAGTGGTACTTCGTGGTGCATGTATCCGTACTTTGTTTTCTGCGAACATGTCATGCCGGAACTGCAGACCTCATTCATGTATCCAATAGCTACTTAATGCTACTTAGTTACTTCCATCATAGGGTCATACATGGGGTAAATGGATAAACATCTAAGTATATAACCATATATATCATATACCTGGATGCTCTGGGAACTCCATGTCGCCGCTTCCGGGTCCGGTACGTCCGGAGTCTCCAGGTCTCCATGTGCCAGTCACATCGGCATGAGCGGAGCCCAGTGACACGGCGACGCCTTCATGGGGTCCATGGGTCGATGCATGATGGTGTCGGAGATGTTTTCATTCCTGACCTGGGATGATTGAACCTATTGACCATTATTGACTCATATGTTTACTTCGTGGGTTGAAGACACCAACCAGATTCTCAGGATCTGGAGCCACACTCACTGCGCTGCTGGGTAGGTGATGCCCGGACATTTTTCGACCTTTACGGTTATGCGAGGTTTGTTAGGTTGCGACGGATGAATCTGGACCTATACTTTGTAGATTCTACAATACAATGACATGGTACAGTATTCCGTATGCCGTATGCCTGACCTCATCATGGCTCAGGACTAACACTTTTTGATATCTGTTGATCAACTGAACTGGGTTGCGATAAGTATGCAGCTATTCATAGCATCACCACCACCCCCAATCACAATGTTGGATTCTGGCTTTGCAGACTTGTGGTTTTGGCCATTGATTGCGTCCACTCATTACATGTGTTTTGCCCAAGTCAGATTTGGGGTCAGCACGGGTGTGAGTTGCTCAATGGTTTGCTCAACTAAGAGTCGGTGATAAGATCACGGTCCATGCTTGCTGCTTTGTTCCGCTGACCCAAAAAAGTCGCGTCTACGATCCATGATCCAACGAAAAAAACCAGCTGAAGAAATGCCACCCCCGCCAACCCGAACTGGAGACCCACCGGACCGTGGCGGCTCCAGTTCTCGGTCACGTCGTTCCTGTCCTCACCCGCGGCACGGCGGAACGCCCGCGGCCCCCGAGGCCCTGGCCTGAAGAGTCCAAGGAGGCGGCGATGGAGTTCGCCAACCGCGGCATGTGAGCCCCGGGAAGGTGAGAGGCGAGCAGAGACTGGTGAGTTCGGTGAGCTGTCGGTGGACTTCAGGCGGAGCTTTGCCGACCTGGGCACTTTGGGATGCGCGCTGCGCTGGTTGTTTTCAAGTAGCTGGTGAATTGGGCACAAGAGGGATCTTCTGAAAGACTAGTTACAGGGCCACTAGGGCGGGCTTCAATTGGCAGGAGAAATAACACACTGGCCAAGGGCACATGACGGGAATGATATGGAATGATGGCATTGTAGTGTTTTGATGTGTTTTGGGAGTTCCAGGTGGTGCAGGTTTCTTTCGAAGTAGCACGAGTTCCTAGTCGTAGCTATGGGGTCAAGACCCATCTGGCTTTGCAGAAGTTGCAAGGGTGGACAACCGACCTTCATGGCCAGGTAGAAACTGCAAGCATGATCAAGTGAATCCTTCCGATGCAGACACCCGCTTCAGGTGAACATGTTACATCAAGATATTATGACAATATAGATCACGCTTCTCGTGCTCGGAAAGCCACCTACCTGGGTGGTAAACTGATTGACCCAGAGGTATGGCATTGAAGTGGTGGGTGCGATTTTCTTGGCGCATTTCTTGCGACTGAACACCTCCTTGACCACCTTCAACTTCAGGCGCCGAACTGTGCGCGCACCGTGCGCTCGCAAAGCTGCGCGTCTCCCGCACCGTGGGGGGCAGGAGCGGACCGGACCCTGATAACCCTGCAGTCATGGCACCCCCGTGCCCCTCCGTACGTGTAGAAGAAAGATGAAGAAAGTGCCATATATGCCGAGCAGTTGGGGTGGTGCCAGGGGGGTCAATGGGGCGGCATATATCGCAGTCCCATGGAGTGTCTGGGTTGGAATCGTTCCATCCCCCCTCCCTTTGTTGAGTTAGATCCGGTGCATATCGCTTGGAGCGAAGAGAACCGTCTCGATACGCAGTGCACTGCGTTGATCGCCCTCGGCGCCGGTGACGAGCGGGAGCTCAGGCTGAATCACGTGGAGAAGGACGGCGCGAAGGTCCCGTCACTGCCGCGGACCTGCCGCGTTGCGCGTTTGGTGTTTCAAGCAAGTAGTATACGAGCGGTTCTCTGGTGTTCGGATGGATTTTTTGGGAGCTGACGTCTGCAGCAGTTGCTAGAACCTGAGTTACAGGCTTGGACGAGCAAGATGTACAGACAGGAAGCAAGAAAGGACGTTGAACCATGTTGAACCCTTCGGTTGAGACAAACAGGGAAGGAGTACGGCCGTTTCAATGTGTTCAGAGTTCAGGGGTGGTTCTTCATGAGCTCTGGAAAGGCTTTGGCTTCAGTGCATTTCGACAGAACTTCCAACTGCCCTGACAGACCGACATTTCGCCTGGAACACTCATTCGATTCAGCGTCGTATCCAAGTATCACCCTATTAGGCCCTCAAGCCTATAGCCATCTCAAGCCAATGTGGTCAAAGTTGAGTGCCCATTTAGTATCAACCCTGAAGCCTTAAGTGCCCCTGAAGCACTTCCAAAACTCAACCCCACTCGCACCAAAACAGCCACGCCATGCCATGGGCTGACCGGGCCTCTATGCCACTCGTTGAGCAAGTGAGTTCATGGGTAGAACAAAACATGCATTGCAAGTTGTTTGCTCACATCGGACATGCGAAGAGCCCAAGAATCTTGGACTTGGGTGATGGCATGGTGATGGCTTTTCCAGCAGCCAGATGTTTCTGTGTCCTTTCATCCTGTAGCATTTGTGTGAAAGAAAAGCAAAGTGCCCCTTGCCAACGTACCGACACATGTTCCTCACGGGTACAGCGGCTAGGACTGTCGAAGAGCGTGGGGAAAAAGCAGGGGTAGCTTGCTGCTACCCAGAGCTGAGGTTCGGTTGTGGAAGCAAAGATGTGCAGGAGTACCACAGACTGAAGATTCTGGAACTACCCTCCCTCAAACAATCATGGAAGCTGAGCAGACCCCCCTTGTAGAGGACAATTGGTCTTCCAGGGGCCTACGTTCCAGTTCCAGGGAGTGTATATCAATGACAGAAGCAGTGTTGGATGGCAGCACCGCTCCCAGCAAGTTGATCGTCCATGGCATCGATGGCTCAACTTTTCACATTGCACTTGCGGATGCCGTCACCGTGGCTTAGATATCGATATTTTGATTGTTTGGAGTTCAACCAGACTTCTAAGGTATAAGGTATCCCTGGATCTTCCAACGGCATCCATGTTGTGGGTTGCAAACATGTGCTCAAAATCCGTGGACAGGGAATGAAGGACGCACAGCTCGCCGACACAGAAGCCGCTCCTCACCTTGTCGTTCGTCACCACACATCCGCGGCCGTTCGTCGGCAAAAACGATGTCTTTGGGAAAGGACACTGCAAAGGCATTGGTGTTTTTTCTTGCAAGGGCAATTTTGGTGCTGTTTCGAAGATCCAGGTCATTTGGTAACTATATATAATATATCAACATATATTGTTATTGGATCCATAGTCTATAAATGTCTATAATATATGTACAACCAATCATGTAAGAAGGGGGTGCTTCTCCAACATATCCAAGGTGGAGGATTTATCAAGACTCATTGCGGCTGCCAGTGGCGTGCCTCGATCCGGACGAAGGCTGGTGTTGACCTCTGGTGGTCAGCTCCTGGTGGACTCCAAATCCCTCTCGCAACAACTCGCCCCTGGTGCAGAGGTCGTCTACGTGATCCAGCGAGTGTCTGCTGCAGAAGCAGCGGTGAGTTTGCAGCGGGCCTTCGCAAAGGAAACCAGGCACCACTTGTGCACTGCGGATGTAACTAACATGAGTGGAATTACCTCCTTGACACTTCGAGGCGGATTCAATACGAGCTTAAAGGATGTCACCCTCCCCTGCGGACTGGAGTCATTGACCTTTGGTGCCAATTGTTGGCAGAGCTTGGAAGGTGTCACTTTGCCAAACAGCCTACAGACTTTGATTCTCGGAAAGGAATTCAATCAGAGCTTGGAAGGTGTCACCCTGCCAAGCTGCTTGCAGACTTTGATCTTCGGAACCTATTTTAACATGGGCTTGGGAGGTGTCACTCTGCCAAGCAGCCTGCAGACGCTAACCTTCGGAATGTTTTTCAATCAGAGCTTGGCGGATGTCACTTTACCAAGCAGCCTGCAGACTTTGACTTTTGGAAGTCAATACAAGCAGAGTTTGGAAGATGTTTCTTTGCCAAGCAGCCTGCAGACATTGACCTTCGGCTCAAGCTTCAACCAGAGCTTGGAAGGAGTCATTTTGCCAAGCGGCCTCCATACTCTGACCTTTGGTGACAGGTTTGACCGGAGCTTGGCTGGTGTTACTCTACCAAATAGCCTACAGACTCTGATTCTCGGAAGGGAATTCAACCAAAGCTTGGAAGATGTCACTCTGCCAAGCAGCCTGCAGACATTAACCTTTGGAAAGAAATTCAACATGAGCCTGACAAGTGTTACTTTGCCAAGTGGCCTGCAGACTTTGACCTTCGGAGAGTTATTCGATCAAAGCTTGGAGGGTGTCACTCTTCCAAGTCGTTTGCGGACCTTGATATTCGGCTTCCAGTTCAACCAGAGCTTGGAAAGTGTCACTTTGCCAAGTAACCTTCAGACTTTGATCTTGGGCAACAAATTCCAGAGGAGCTTGAAAGATGTGACTTGGCCAAGCAGTTTGCTGACTTTGACCTTGGGAGAATCCTTCGACCAGAGCTTGGAAGGTGTGGCTTTGCCAAGTAACCTACAGACATTGACCTTGAGAAAGAATACTAGCAAGAGCTTTGTAGGTTCCACTCTGCCAAGCAGTTTACGGACCTTGAATTTGACCAGCAAGTCTAACGACACTTTGGATGATGTCATTTTGCCAAGCAACTTGCTGACTTTGACCTTTGGGGACACGTTCAATCGGAGCTTAGATGGTGTTTCTTTGCCAAGCAGCCTGCAGACATTGACCTTCGGCTCAAACTTCAACCAGAGCTTGGAAGGTGTCACTTTGCCGAGCAGCTTGCTGACTCTGACCTTTGGGGACATGTTCGATCAAAGCTTGGATTGTGTTTCTTTGCCAAACAGTCTGCAGACTTTGACCTTGGGTTCCAACTTCAACAAGAGTTTAGAAGGTGTCATTTTGCCAAGTAGCCTGAAGACTTTGACCTTTGGACTGTATTTCAACCAGAGCTTGGAGGGGGTTGCTTTGCCAAGCAACCTGCAGACGTTAACCTTGGGCGGCAACTTTAACCACAAATTAGAAGGTGTCGCTTTGCCAAGCGGCCTGCAGACTTTGACCTTTGGAACATACTTCAACAAGAGTCTGGAAGGTGCCACTTTGCCAAGCAGCCTGCAGACTTTGACCTTTGGCTCCTACTTTAATCAGAGCTTGGAAGGTGTCACTTTGCCAAGCAGCCTGCAGACATTGTCCTTCGGTGACAGGTTCGTCCACAGCTTGGAAGGTGTCACATTGCCAATATCTCTGCAGCACCTGGGTCTTTATTGGTTTGAAATCACCTGCAATGCGTAGTTTGCAGCGGCTTTATGTCGTCTTCAAACGATCTTGTGCTCGCCTATTCCTGCGCTGATCGACAAAGCTGCGCAATACAAATAGGAATGGATCCACCGCGGTGGTAACTTTGTTTCTGGGTGGGAAGTTTGTTCTATTTTGTTGGGGTCCTAAATAGATAAAGAAGCAGATTTATGCAGAAGACATACCGGAATTTGTAAAGAAGACATCTTCATCCACAAATGCTTTTGGAGGAGGGTGGAGCCTGGAGTTTGGATTTGCAGTGGACTGGACTGGTGTGTAACATGATTCTAACTAGCCTTAGTGGACTGGACGTCCCCTTCGGGTTAGACAAACCCTCAGGGTCGGTGACATCACAACCAAAGCAACGGCCAAAACAATTACTGTAAGACCCTTGATGAATCAGTGCGAATTCCATGGATTTTCCATCCACATGTGTCGCATAGCTCAAAAAGGTACTGCCCCCATCCCAGAAACGACTCTATCACACATGTAGATCACTGTATAGCCTATTGGGTCCTGTATAGATGTCTAAAGCTCTCCATGCGAACGCGGCGAAGGCCTTAGCACAAAGCTTGCTGGGCAACGCGCAGACCGTCTTGCAGACGGTGCGGTTCGCCAGCGGGGGACCGGCGAAAGGGATCAAAGGGATCGGGTGTTGGCAGCGTCCCTCGTGGATCTAACGGCAACTCCCCAGGTGGAAGGACGGAAGAGAGCTGAAGGACATGAGCTCTGCAAGATGTAGATGTTTGGCACAGATCATATCTAAAGCTCTCCACACGATCTTGAAGGGTTCTTCAAACGTCTACATCATTCTGCATCTACATCTACATCAGTTCTTCAAACATCTATGGCAACGTTTTTTGCTTGTTGAAAAAATGTTCCTCACTGCGTCAACGTCGTCAACGAGTGGGCCTGCCTCTGGAAAACGTGCACAACGCGCGTTCGTGTGAACACACGAACGAGCGGACCCAGGTGAACACCATGGGCCCGACCAAGATGAAGTCAGCAAGCTCAGGAATGTGTACCGATTGGTTGGTTTGGCTTGGTGTTGTTTTGGTTTTGTTTGGTTGCTTGTTTGGTTCATGTTGGGTTGGTTTTCCCGCTTGCTTGCTTGTTTGGTTGGTTGGTTGTGTATCTTTGTGTCACTTATAGCTATTCAATTGGAGTGAGCAGCAAAATGGCTACTCCCTGGAACACTTTGCAATGCTAACAAATCCATACGTAACCAACCAACCCAACCCAATCCTTCTGTAGAAATATGTAGAGGTACCGCCGACAGTTTGATATATACAGTAAGTGGGCAGTTCGACTGGGTGATCGACAAAAGTTCTGTAGAACCAGCTGGAGACTCTGTAGAAACCTATGATTCCTATCGAGATCTTTCCAGTATCAATTTGCATGCAACAGAAGGAAAAACACACCATGCCAACTCATCCAACTCAATAAATGTCAAAAGCAAATTAGTTAGATGCAAATTAGTTCATTATAGTTATATCCATATATAATCAGAACACGTTCCTTCCTCTTCTTTCGTCTTGTCTTCTGCCTTGAACCGGTTCGCCACACATGCGAGGCCCGGGATCGACTTTGGCCACTTCAAGACCGGACACTTGTGCCTTCGGCTGCAGCTGCAGCACGGGGCTGCTAGATCGGCGATCGGCGGCGACTTATTTTGTGATGTCCGATTACGATGTGTTCTTTTGTTGACATGCTTTGGAATTTGTTATTTTTGGTGTGGTTTCTTTTTTTGTGCATGTACTTCCATATGCAGCTTTTTGGCATCGGTTTTGAGATATATTTTGGAGCTCACATTCCAGATCTTTCGAGATGATCGTCTTGGTCATTCGGACGACCCACGCACCGGGTCCGGCTCAAACTCGTCGCTGCCCGCGAGAACCACGGTGGACCTCTCGAAGCGCGGCTTGGATGACGATGACTTCGTCTTCCTCGAGGCGCCGCGCGGCGCACGGCAGCGTCGAGCGGAAGAAATCGGAGATCGATGGCAGGGAACCGAGATCGATGTGTTGGGCGGAGAGCTAGGGGGGTTGACCCGAACTGGGTGAATCCCCCAGCTGTTCTGAAACCGGTTCGGAGTTGTGTGCGAAGTTGGGACGTTGGACCCTGTGAAACAGGGTCCCCCAAGAACCCATCGCGGTGTGCTGGTGGTTGGATGTAGGCTGCACGATTTGGCTGTTTGATGCGTTTCGGAGCCTGCTGGACGTCTTCGAACTTTGTTTGGTTCAATAAAACTAGGTATTCTGGAGGAAGGTTCAGGAGTGCACCAACAATGAGAGAGTATTCTAGAGTTTTTGGGTGGTGTGGTGTCCAGAAAGATTGAAGCATGAACAGTATCACAGTGGTATCAATCTGAATTCATGCGGAATTTATGCAGGTGAAAATCCACCCCTGGTTACAATATCATCAATGTTGTTTCTGGATGGCTTTGTGTTCACAGCTGCATATGACCTCCCCGTCACATCATTCCCCGTCGACGCTCGCTTGCGGCGTTTTGAGGTCGGAACTCCGGTTGGCGGTCGGTCTTCGATCATGGATAGGAACAACTGATCGGTCGAGAACGGATAACATAAAGACACTATAAGACACTGAGTTGGTGATATAAAGACGCTGTTACAACTGAAGTTTTGCTTTCAGCACTAGGTTTAACCTGGGTCAGTCAGACTGGACCTGTAGGGGTAGGTTCCTAGTCGATCAGTTGACATCGACCCGTGAAATCAACCACCACAACTGATCGGTCAATATATTCCAGTATGGCATTCATGGATTCATGTATATAGTATCGAATGATATGGGATGCATTGGCGGTGTCTGGTATGGACACCTTTTTGACAATGGGGGGAATGTAGAATGGATATGCCCCTCCCATGGAGTGTTTGGGGTTCCCTTTGACCATGATTTTGTTGAAGCGAAAACTTGCCGGGAGTTCGCAGGAATGGCTGAGAAGATACGACTGCGTGCGGGAGCCCGTCTCCGCTTTTTTTGGGTTCCAGGGTAGTATGGTTTGGCAACTCACAAATGCGGTTTTCTGGTAGGCAAAGACTGGTTCCGCTCGCTTGAACTTACAAAGTGCTACTGTTCCTTGCGTTCCTTGCGCCGCTTAGAGGGTTCTGAAGGGCTCTCCAGGCCTGATAAGCTCAGCCAGATTTATGTTGCCACGTCCCGGACCCTTAACCATCCCTGACCTGGAACACTGCATAGTTTCGCCATGTTTGGCCTAGCTACGCCATGCCCGGCGGTACCGCCCGGTGCCGTCTCAATGGTCCAACAGTCACCACGGTGTTTATATGATTAAAAGAACAACTCCAAGTAACTTGCTGAGAGTTTTGCGGACACTTCTTAGTCACCAGCTTCTCAGCTCATTTGCCGATTTGCCTTGCTGTCGGATGGTGTTGCAATGCTGTTGATGGATACGCAAACTCAGGAAAGCACCATGTTTGGTACAACAAGTGCAGCTTTGGGTCTTGCAGGTGTTGTGAGCCATATCTCGCCTGTCCATGCACATGTGTAGATGTGCAATGCCATCAAATCTGGCAGTGATGGCTTCCTCAGACTAGGAACTCCACCTTGAAAGTGGAACCTCTAAGCAATTCACCTGTTGACCCTGCCGTGTTGCCCCGGCCAACCCTCCCCTCCTCGGCTGCCAGTTTTGCGGTCGAGTCGGGTCACACCGGTGCACCGAACCGGAGGTCACCGACCTGAACCTCTCGTGGAACTTCATGTCCCGGGACGGCATTCGCAAGCTCACGCGGCACATCAAGGTGTGGCACGCGGCTTCACCTGGCACATGTGCCACGTGTGCGCGTGGCATGCTTTGGCACATGGGGGCACCGAGAGGGTGGGGAAACCGGGTGGGTTTGTTGCTGGGACACGGTTTGAAAACAACGATGCGTGACTGGACGGGTGCAAACTGGACATGACATGTTTGTTTTCATGTCCAGTTTGCACTTGCACTTGCTTGACTTGGGGCAGCTTTGAGGCGGCAAGGAGAAATCAAAGACCCAATGCACCGGGCATAAGCATCGGCTCATATCTTGGGACATAAGTTATTCTCTATATATATTATAGACACAGAGAGAGAGAGAGAGAATTGTCGACATGCTTGGAAGGTGTAATATATAAATATGTTAATACAATTAGTTTGGATTTTGAAGCTGCCATGTGGTCCCCTGTGTCATCTCCCGGATTCACTCTTGAAGAGTGGAAGATAAAAGCACAATGAACATGGGGAATGCCTTGAATCGCTTCGAAGCTCATGAAGCCTCGAAGCCTGGTGTTGAGAGAATCTCACAATCTCAGCTTGTTCTTGGCCCTAGGGATCCAAGTGCCTTCTCAGAAGGTGATTGGAGACACTGCTATGGTTTGGAGATGTTTGGAGGATCCAAGTACCTTCTGAGAAGTTCTGAGAAGGTACTTGGATCCCTAGTGTGGGTGAGTGTTCAATTTTGCTTTCATACACACATCGCTTTGATTGCAGTGCATTTGTGCATCCATGGCTGTTCAGGAGTCAAAGGTTTTGACCAAGCTGAACTGCCGGATCCCGAGACACTGCTTCAGCGCAGACTGCCTTGCGGCTGAGGGGGTTTGTTCAGCCCAGTTGAGGCCCCGAGAAGCTTGTTCTGGGGATTGCTTCAAGATCGGCATGTGCAATTGGACCTAATGATATATTACGAAAGCCAGCCTTCGTAGAAGGCGCCAGCTGAGTTGTGCTTGGCGAACGAAGTGAGTAGTTAGGGGGTCTGGGGGGGTGGCCCGCAAAAGGTACACGTAAACTCGGCACATGCTAGGGGAGGAGGGTGGACGGATGGAAGGTTTTTTTGAGGTTGTGTTGGAGGTGATTTTTGAGGGGTGGTGATGCAAGAAATGCAATTTGCATCATTTGCATCATCGTATAGATACCCAGGGTAGCTATAGTGCAGTTACCAGGTATAGTACTTCAAGTTCCCTTTCCATTAACCGCTCGATAACCTTTACACACGCACAGCAATCCACAGCTTTGAAGTCTCATGCGCGCGATACCTGGGAACAGAATTGTAGCTACCCTGGGTCCGTATAAATGCTATGTTGCTAAACCTCTTACACACCTACAAAAGTGCAAAGCACGAATGAGACTTCAAAGCTGTGGTTTGCTGTGCATGTGTAAAGGTTATCGAGCGGCTGACGGAAAGGGAACTGGAAGTACTATACCTGGCAACTGAATTGTAGCTACCCTGGGTATCTATACCTGGCAAGGTGCCAGCTGAGTAAGAAGGGGGGTTCGGGGGGTGCACGGAAGTAGGGGTGCACTGAGGCAAGGTTTTGGAGGTGCTTTTTTGGGATTTTTCGAAATGCAATTGTCTTCGGTTGGTTGCAGTGCTATACTTGGCAACTGCATTGTAGCTACCCTGGGTATACCTGGCAACTGCCTTGTAGCTGCCCTGGGTCCGAGCGCGCGCGCCTAAATCACGGGCAGCCGGGAGCCAGCAAGGCGCGCGCGCGCGGACCCAGGGTAGGGAAATTGAAGTGGGATACCTGGCAGCAGAATTGTAGCTACCCTGGGTCCGTATAGATGCTATGTTGCTCTACCTCTTACACACATATAAGTTCAATGCAAGAATGAGACTTCAAAGCTGTGCGTGTGTAAAGGTTATCGAACGGTTGACGGAAAGGGAACTTGAAGTACTATACCTGGTAACTGAATTGTAGTTACCCTGGGTATCTATACCTGCCCCAGCTGAGTATGAAGGGGGGTTCGGGGGGGTGGCCTGAGAAAGCACACTCGAAAGTAAAAACGCTGGCTTTCGTTTTGCAGATTCCCAGGTATATATGTATATATATATATATATATCGAGGACCGCTATCAAGGTCGCAAGGATCCGTGCAGCGGGAATTAAGACACACCACTCACAGCACTTTAGCCTTAGCCCAATGTCCAACTGACATTGTCTTTGCTTTGGGGTTTGAATCCTTGATGGACACAACCTCAAGAAAGGTGAGGATCATGCCAATTTATAGACCATCCACTGCCAAGCGCAAGGAGGTTACATAATTCCCATGTATTGGAAGTCATTTGGGGATGGGTCAAAACCTGGAGCCCTGGTCCACCATTTGCCGCGAGCGACCAACACCAGGTGGGTCAACGGGTCGGTATCCTGCCATGACCCACGGCCGTTTCCGGACAGTCTTGTGTACTGATCGACATTCATGCGCTACAGGTCCTAGCTTGCAGGGTGAGTGGTGTTTTCTTTTTTTTGCCGAACACCAAATGGATGGTTGTTTTCACTCAACACTGACCTCCACATTCGGACGTGCGTTTTCCGAATGGAGTGTGATTCTTCGATGTTGGTTGCGGTGCGTCGACGCGAGGCGTGGGATTGCCTGTGACGCTGGAGGTGCCTGGCTGGGAGGATTGGAGACCCCCAAGAGGTTCGGAGAGTGTGGCTGGGTGTTGGTTTGACCCTTGAAAAAAGGGATGTGACATGATTTAAGTGGATGGTCAGGTGAAAAAATGGTGCATTGAAGTGTTCAAGAAACAGAATCGACTTGACTTGAGCCACCAGTATTTGTTGGAGTGGTGGATGCAAAGGAGATGTCATTCGACTTCAGCTGATCCAGCCAAGTCTCAAGATGCAACAAAGGAGCTGTTGGAACCTTCTCTGGCTTTTGGTTGACTGGACATTGGACCAACCAAGGCTGATCGTTTCGCTGGGACTGCGCCTGGCCCCGCTGGGTCCACAGGAGCCTTCAGTGCCCAGCAGCACGCACGTCACACGCGATCCGCGCGGATGGCAGGGCTCGGCGCTCCTGGCACGCGCGGTGGTGGAGAACCACACGCTGCGGCAAGTGGCGTCAGGGCTGCCGAGTGCGCGGTCGATGGTCCATGTGTTTTTGTTTAATTCTCTGAGCATTAGAAGGGTTGAAGGTTTTGGAACAAGAGATGTATGGGCGAAGGACTAAGTGACTGTCAGCATCCAAGCAAAATGATTCTCAGTATTTATGGTGGCCGAAAGCTGATGAACTCTGTAACCAGCTTTTTTGTAGTTGTTTCTGGCAACACCCCATTGTGCGCTTCAAGGGGTTGTCCGCTGAAAATGATCGCCTCTCAGCCTGCGTACACTGACTGGACTGCTGAGGTTGCCGTTGGGACACTGCCACGATACCACCGAGCGACAACAGGCAAGCTTTGCACAGCTTTTAGAAACCACCAGCTGTTCGATCCGTTTGGAGTGCAAAACCTTTTCATGGGGATTCATGTTTCATGGACTGGTGAACAGCAACTTCAGAGAAATCCTTCTGCATGTCACAGATCGGGGGAATTTAGGGTAAAGTGGCAATGCCATGCGCCACATGCCTGGCTGGGGGGATATTGTTTCAAGGCGGTGATCACTCATACTACACAACCGGGTGTGGTTGTCATGAGATGCCACACTGCTGCGGAACAAGAAAAACAAACGGGAAACATTGCAGGACTTCTGAGCCTTCCTACTTCCTACCTACCGATAGTTGCTATTGTAACGGAATTTCCTGTATATAGAGCAACTTCCTTTATAATAGCCTCCATTGTCATGGATCCCTTGATATATATATATATAGATATATATAGATATATAGATAAGGCCATTCCAACAAGCATCAAACGATCACTCTCAGTTCCTTTGGACACTCGCCGGACTCGAACAAATACACCGGAACCAACCATAAGGATCGGATCCGGAACCACCCGGCGACCGTGGCGTGGCGGAATGCCGCTGCGTCTTTCGCCGCCCAGATGATCCAACAGTTCGGCATGGGCCTCGCGAGCCACCCCACGCTGCACAGCTTCGCGTGCACGCGGACGCCCAACTTGGAGTATGCCCGGGAGGCCCAGGGAAAGGCCATAACTGCGAGTACGTCGGACCCAGTCATTGAGAAGTAAGAACCCCTATAGCTATCGCATGCTATCGCTATCTGGGGAAAAAGAGCCACAATCGCTCCAGATCTTTCAGGTGGGTGACTGGGACGAAAGTAACTGAGGAAAACCTGGTGGGCGACACCCAGTGTTGAGGAAGGCAGCGATGGGAACCATAATTCGTTGTTCCCATGACTAATGATCGAGGGGTGCATGTCGGCAGATGTTGCAGACATGCACTGCAGCCAAGAAGAGATTCTACTTTGGAGGTGCTCTTTCCTTCCTTTCTCAGCCTCAAGCATCTTGAAAACAGCGACAACCGCTCCGACCATGGTGTGAGTTGTGTCGGTTTGTTGTGTTGGTTGGCCCCCCTTGAAAATCAATTCTGTTTGTAGGTATAGTTCTAGAGTGTGACTAAAAATCCTGCTCTCAATGAATTCTTTCAATCTCCCATCTACTTTATGTAGTTTTCTGTATATGTATTTGGCTACAAAAAGTAGTCGGCAGTGCTTCTTACACCCTCCGACGCAAACTACTTTACTTCGAGTGATCCCCACCATGGCATTCTATTATGCTGATAGCCAGTGGCTATATTGCCCCAACATCATCAATAAAGTGACTATCTTGCACATACACTGGCATTCTATCTGGCATATCATATATTCTGAAATTCTATCTGGCATATACTATGGCATTCTATCTGGCATTATTTCTATCAATCTATTTGACATCTCATTCTGCATTCTTTCAGTTCCGGTGGTGCCCACGCACTGCACCCTGGAGCTGGAAGGAAGGAAGGAAGGAGGCGGAAAAGGAGGGGGAGTTGACGGCTGTGACAAAGTCAAACAACCCTCACCCTGCCAGGTCGGGAACATTGGCTTCCAGTGGGAAAGCTCCTGCTCGTAAAGGAAAAGCGTCTTCCGGCCATGTTCTACTTCCATGTGGAGGGTCCGAGTGTACAATGTTGTTTCAGGATCTGACCTGAGGGTCTGGTCGCAACCAGACTCGTTGCTGACTGAAGTCCTCGGGTCTTTTTCACGCACGGCTTTGGGTGCCCCGACTGTGGTACGATTGAGGCCAACTTGAATGATGCCAGAGAGAATAAGGCGGAGAGAAGCCGGGGAGGAAGGATTGATGGCAAAGTTATCAAGGGATTCTTCTGGAAGAACTCATGTGAAATGGACTATATATAGATATATGTTTTTTTTTCTGTGTAGCTGTATAGTCTGTGTAATACTCCATTGTATAGTCTGGACGTTTTCGAACAAGCGAGACGCCTGCCAGATCAAAGACAAGGCCTTCCCTCCGGAAAGGAGTGGCGGTTGGCCACGGACACAGGCGCCTTGTTGGTGTGGGGAACGACATACAGCCAGTGACGCGTTGATTTGTATAGACATATTGGGTTAGTACCCATGAACGCTCTAAACAAAAGGTGTGTGTGTGTGTACATAATAGTTGTTTAATTTGCAACTGATCTATGTCCATCGAAGTTTGAAAACAGACTTTGGTTGAGCCACTGCGCATCATGGCCGGACAGACTACCGGTAGGTCAGCATGGCTTTGTTTGAGGAGAGGTTGACCCTGCAAATGACCGATGCTTACCGTATAGTATAGTTTACGTTGTGGCTGATGGCATGAACACCCATGTTTCAACTGTGAAAATGTGTGATAAAACGTTTTGCTTTGGTGTAATTTCAAGCCCCAGGGTGTTTGTTGGGATCAGGCTGTGGAGTAATCACTTGCAAAGAACCCATGTTTTTCATATTTTGAATGATCGACGGGTCGTTGTGCTCACTCCCGTCCACTCCCGTTCGCCAGGAAAAGTGAATAGCCTTTAACCAGTTTTGGAGATGTTTCCCCATTACGCGCGAAAAGGTGGAACAAGGTTAGCCTTGAATATTCTCCAGCGAAACTGAGGGAGTCACTGGTCTCCACCCTTGCGCGTGGACCGCCACGCGCACTTCTGCAGATGGCGGTCTTCATGTGGTTCATCTCCGCTTTGAAGCCTGACCTCGAGAGGTGCGGCTGGGTCCAGAAGAAGGTTGACTGACACGACCACCAATCCAATCACCTGGTTCAAGCCATACCTATGGCAAAGAATCAAGTATATAAGAGCACATTGGCCATTTATGTGGGGAATGGACAGGTTTTGAGCTTCTCACAGATGGAGGTCACAAGCGCCTAAATGTTCATCCAAAATCATCACGTGCGTTTGCCAGGAGGTTGACTCCTTTTTGATCCACTGGGTTTGTTCTAAAAGGATCCCAAAGGCAACTCTGTGAAACGCCCCTAATCAAAAGGAACTTCCGTGACTTGACCTTGGGCCATCATGGGTTGAGACCCACGTGTGATAGATTCACCATATCACAAATGTTGCGATTTTGCCGTCCGAAAGCACCGCAATGCGATGTGACTGTGAATCCATGTTTGAACTTAAGGAATATGAATATAATTTGCACTGAACACTCACTCAATTCACGTTGAACAGTGTTCACTCACGCCTGTCAACTCTTGTGGCTGTTGTTAACATGTTCCTTATTTGGCCAGTGGATTCGCCCTAGCCCTTGCTGATGCGACTTCGCCCCCGGCAAGCGGGGCCACGTGCGCGCGATGACGACGGCCAAGAGTGTGGACGACGACGTCTCCTTTTGCTGCGTTCCTTACCCCCCGGGCGTTACCGCCGACCGGCCTTACCAGTTGGACGGTATAAAATTCATTGGTCACCCAAGAAGTCATGGGCCATTTTTCTGTGTGAAGTGTGACTCGATGCGACTCAAATCAGAACGACTTCGTCGGTGGCTTTTCGATGTGAGTCGGCCTCCAAACCAGCTTTGATGTGATCGAATCGACCGCTTAGCAAGCAAGGAGTGCTTTGAAAGCACCGACTGACTCGGCTGTCCCCAATGTAGGATGTTGATTGAGAACCCCCTCCCATTTGAATCTGACATGTCCAAACGAACAGCCTACAGGGTTCGTTTGCAGGCTAACGCTTGGTGGCAATGGGAAGCCCAAAGTGGAGTATCCCAAGGAAGTTTGCCAAGGCCTTCGGGGTTGGTCGGGGTCGAAATGGGTTGTTTTCTATGCCGGCCTCTCCTCGGCTTGGAGGAGAGCTTCGCTTGGACGTTCGTTAAACATGGTTCGGCTTTCCTGAAAATGCTGGTGCTCCTGAGGATGTCAACCAAGAGGTAAGGTATAGGAATCTTATTGTCGAGTACAATGGCTTGTATAGCAGTTCCAAAAATGGGTACGAAGGAGGAACCGGTCACTGACAGGAAGACCAGCTTTCCGGAGTTTTCTACTCTATAAAGACATAATTATGATCCTGTTCCTCTTGTGCTGTTCTGGCTGGGAGGGTAGCCAATATGTAGCCATGTAAGCAGTTTGCAGTTGCGAGAGAGGATCATTTGTTTCGTGGAAACTTGGACCTCGGGGACTCATTTGAGGGGAGGATGAACAAGTACCAGAAGGAGTCTGCACCCGGTGTCACACGTGTCAACTGACCATCGAACAAGACATTGTGGCCATGATGATCCATTGCCAGGTATCTTTTGAAACCCTCACTTGCAGGATCTTCCAATGATACCATCAATTCTGGAAGCCTCCAGCTTCCCCACCCCTCCCCCCCAAAAAGCTTAAGAATTATCTTCTTATGACTTATGTGATCTGTTCGCATTTCTTCGAAAGAATTTCCGACTTTCGGGGCCCATGCTGCACGCTCTGACCGGGGCTCCCAGCCTCACGGGGCTCCCGCACAGGTCGGGCGCGGGACCTCGACGCCTCAGGTGCCAATCCGGACCTGATCCCGGCCACGCTGGGCGTGCTCCACGATGCGGGACATCGGCTGCAACAGGTTTCGCACCAAGCGCAAGCGCGTTGGAAACGGAGAAACACCACGGTCCGGTGACGTTGGCGGCTTCTTGTGGGGTTAAAATATATTTAAATCCTAACGGAAGGAGAGAATAGCTTCTGAAGCTGCTTTTTTAGCAGAGACTTGATGTTTGACATATGTTTGACACCAGAATGATGGGATTATATCAAAAATGATAGCAGAAGATCAACATGATTGATGTTCATTCTGCTTGGAAGGGTCAGTGACCTTCATTCATAATTGTATGTGTTTTTGTTGGAGCCCCAAACCTCCTGATCAACTCCTCCCCTGCCTGGCCCAGACCATCCATGGCGACTGGAATCAGTTACATGATACTCATGACCCATCCAATCCAATGTGGCGAAACAAACTCTTCCAGAGTCCCATTCGCGTCAAGTGGTCGATGCATCCTCAATCCAAAAGCACCGCGTCACGTCAGTTGGTAGGTCTCCATTGCTTTGCCCTTGGGCTATGCCTCACGCTCCATGGAGCTCATGCGCGTCCGGGTCCCCGGGAACTCCCGAGACGGCGAAGGAACACCGTTTGGGGGGTAGGGGTGGAGGTGTTTGGGATGTGGTTGTGAGGTATCAAACGACGTGAGGCACGTGAGGTATCAAGTCTTTCTCTGAAAATCACGATAATCACAATCAACCTTCTCACTGTGGGAAGGGATGACCTATACACCACAGTAAAGAGTGGGCTACTTGAGATGAACGTGGGTGAAGGACTTAAAACGATTCAACCTTGACAGCCACATCAGCTACATATCCCTTCTGCTTGCAGGGCTTGATTCCCAGACATGTTTGAGTTTACGCCAGGCCATTGACCATTTGATACAAACTGCGCAAGGTAAGCAGATTGAATCAAAGTCTTGCGGGTACTTTTCCATGCTTTCAGACCACGTGTTTGTTCTTCCACCTTCGGCTCGCCGTTCCCCACGGTGTGTGGACGGACGGAGGTTCTCCCACTCCGGTGGGGCCTGACGGCGTTTCGCGCCCAGGTGCTGACGGTCTGCGGCAGCATGAGATCCTTGAAGCTCTTGGGATTCGCTTCGGTAGCTCAGATGAGATTGCTCAGAATCCAGGAGACACAAACAGCTTTTACATGCATGTATATAGTTAACAGTTGACAGTTTGTAAATGTTCGTAATCTTAAACAAAAAGTTCAAGTGGACACATATACTAAGCATTGTGCATATAATATATATATATATATTTATTTAAGTATATTTATACATTCTAAGTTTGATATTACATTAAATCAACAACACTTGTTCTCGTCCAAAGACTAACAGGAAGCACTAGTCTGTTCTTCCCGCACCACTCAAGGACGTGCTTGCGTGAGTGTGTTCTGTGGCAAGCTTTGGCACGAAAGACTGACCAAAAGCTGGACTTCATTCTCTCGTGCTTTGGGAGAACATCCACCTTGAAGAGGATTGGATTGACAGGTGACTGTCCTGGCGGTCACATCATTCAGTTGTCATGCTGTGATTGTGGCGACCTGGGTCCCGGGTGCTCCCTCTAAAGTCATCTTGGCCCTCTCGCCTTGTGTCTCGCCACTACGAAGAAACGGACTTCGTGTTCGCATACGAGTGAATACCTGGATGCAGCCTGGAGGTGACGTGGCTGTCTGAAAGAATCATGGTGACGTGGATGGCATGGTTATGTGTTCGTATCCGGAAAATGGTCATCCTTTCGGTGGCATGCCATCCACATAACCAGGAGCAACTAGGAACAACTAGGAGCAAGGACGCTACGAACGGGGCTCCTGGCCTTACTAGGAGCAAGAAGCTACTATAGTAACAAAGGGCATCGCTACCTAGGAGCAAGGACGCTACTATCTCCTTTTCAGTTGCAACAAGACCCGCAAATCGTTTGTCTCTAGACGTTGGTGGAAAGGGTGTAGACAGAAAGCATCAGAAAGCCTTGGTTGGTGTAGACCGAAAAGCTAATCTGCACTCTGACTAACTAACATGGAAGTGGATGGCATGGGTTTCTGTTGGAAGACGACTTTCCTTTACGAACGCGGTTTTTTTCTCCACGTAACCATGTGATGTGCAGTGTCGGTACACGTACCAAGCTGATCAGCTCGTCTCTCAGGCATCCATGAAAGAGTCACAGCTGCCACCAGAATGGAACTCCTTCGGCAGCGCGTCCGGGGGACACGGACGAAAGGACGGTTGTTTCAGAACGGAGACGATCACAGAGACGACACCCCAGTGCAAGCTCCTTTCCTTTCTTGAGAGGTCTCCCAGTATAACAGTATAACATGCTATAACTAATGCTAGACATAGTACCCAGTGGAATGAAGAGCAATTGAAGCACCCTTTCGGCAAGTAGTCAGCCATCTTCAATATGTCTTTGAACTGGCATGCGGATTCCTGCAACAGCACTGCGCACACTGAAGTTGTCAGAGTCAGACACCATGTCCCATGTGAAAAAAGTTCAAGTACGGCTAGGTATCTACGAGATTCTACGAGTCCCTATAGATCCACATACCTTCTCAGGTTAGGTATCACTGGGCCCTCCTGGCGACCGCCTACATAAATAGTCAATAGTCTCCCTGCTCACTGCACCGACCTGATTCGGTGCCAGTGGATCCATCACCCAGACGCTCCCTGGGACTGCCATATTTGCCGATCAGTTGGGGTGGTTTGGGGGTCAATGTAGTCATATATTCATACATGGAGTGTTTGGGTAAGGAGTGGAAGAGATCACCGGCAGTTCCCTGAGGCCACGTTGGCTCTTCGAGGATCGCCTGCAGCGGAAGAGGCGCGGAGTCTGGAACACACTCGCTCGCTGTGAACCCAATGATCAGGAGATGGATTGGGAAGTCCTTGATTCATGCAACCTCCTCACTCCTCACCCAATTGAATTGAAAGACCTCTTCATAAGGGGGTATGAATCAAGAGGTCTACATTATGTGAGTTGAAGGATGATGATGTGTTGTTCTTCATGCTCTTTTCAACCCACCTACCAACCCACCCCAGCCAACGGTGAACCGTTGAGGTGAACCATCTGGGAGTTGACCCGGGATGAACTTCAGGGGAACTCGGCTGAAAGTGAACATCGGGTATGTTGAGAGATGTTGAGAGTCATGGGGTATGTTGTCCGCAGGTTTTGTTTGTGCACAAAGTTATATAAGTTATATATAGTATAGTTTGAGGGAGCTTCTTCTTGTTTGCAGTCATACCCCAGTGATGACCCTTGTTTCCGTGGAGGACGCACTGGCAAGCTCTTCATGGTTTGTTGGCTGCGGGGAACCTCAATTCGCGGGGGGGGCTGTGATTGAACGCACGCATTTGAGTTGAAAAAACAACCCATAATATGTATTAAGTAAGGAAGGTTCCCAGAGGTTAAGAAATAGCTTGGCCACCGCTTGGTATTCTGTTGCTCATCTTGTGTCCTTCTTTTCCTGGATGGTTTCACCTTCGATTGGCTTAGTCACTAAGTCATTACTGCATCACATTTCTTTGGTAGGACAAAGGACTCAAATGAATGTCAGCGCCCTGAAGATCAGCCTATGTTTTGTTTGTCATTGAAGGTGGATGAGATTCAAGGTGGATCAGCGTGGTAGGTTTCACTGCGGTAGGCACAGTAGGCACCCGGTGGTCACGTGTGGTCCTGCTCCGTTCGTAGCGATGCCCTTTATTCCTAGTAGCTTCTTGTTCCTAGTAGTAAGGCACTTGTTTCTACTAGCTTCTTGTTACTACTAGTAAGGCACTTGTTACTACTAGCGATGCACTTGTTCCTAGTAGCTTCTTGTTCCTAGTAGTAAGGCCAGGAGCCCCCAGTAGCGTCCTTGCTCCTGTAGGGATGCCAGGAGCCCGTAGTAGCTTCTTGTTCCCAGAGGCACCAGTTTGGATAGTTTATTCTGTGACGTGGGGCATATGATGAGCAACTTCTTTGCTGGACGACGAGATCACCCGACAAATGGAAAGACACAGCGCATCACAGGGCTTCAACATGCATTGGGATTATGCATGATTATGCATTGAGTTTGGTCCTGTAAGAGTTGATTCTGTTCGTCGGGGGGGGGGCCCCCCTGGATCAAATCCCCCCTGCGCCGGTTCACGCCGTCATGGACTTCTACCAGGGTTACTTGTGATTGCCTGCTACCCTTCGTTCACCCCCTCCTCTCTCAAGTTTCAAGTGAGTTGAATCCACCGAGCAGCGTATGACTTGGTGACCTTTTGTTGCGCAGCATTCATGTTTTCGAACGGGACAGCGACTCGCGCGGAGCCGCTCAGGCAGCTGAATGTTCGGTGTTCTAGCTGTATTCACAGGGAGTGCGTCAAGCATCAGCAAGATTACCTTTCAGATTTCTTCACTGTCATATTATGTAGGTGTGTGGCTGTGTAGCTCAAATAGGAAGACTTCCCAAATAGACCCCTGGAAGGAAAATTGACAAACGTCCATTGGGTTCGGGGTATCCCAGATTTAAGAGTCCGCACACTTCTTGATGCACCCGATTTAAACCTCCAGATTCATTTGAACCTCTTGGAATCCTCCACCGCTATTCTCCGGTCGAATGCCGGGAGCTAATACAAAGAGCCACAGTTCGTTTTGCTCCTCAGCTCGATCCAAACAGGTGAGCCACAATGAGTTTTGTTCCTGCTAGGGATCACGACTGCATGGGATGACCATCGCGGGGTTTTGTGTTAACTGCGTGGATGACGTATTGTGCCCTCCTCAGATTGTTATATGTAACATTCCCAAACTTTGATATATGTAACTCTTCTACAAAGTGTTCTTCATGTAATTCAAATCCGATGTTTCTTTTTTTGACAGACTCAAGACTCCAAACCGGAAGCAGTACACTTCCCAATTTACAACGAACAAATTATCAAGTGCCACCTCTTCAAGAATAAACACTACTGCACCTAGCCAGCTGGACAGCCCATAGGATCTTCTTATAGGATCTAGGTCGTCGAACAGAAGTGCTAGGTTGTTATGTAATCGTCAAAACATCGAGAATTCTGCAGGTCTGTGCACCATGTCCTATATAATATACTAGGTCTTGTAGGTTTGCTTATAGGTTTGTCGGGGTCTCCCAGGCCCTGCCCCACTTGGAGCAGTTCAACGACCTGGCCCTGGGAGGCTCCAGCATGCGGGAGTCGTCCGAGTGCCCAGTCTGAGACGGCCGCGCTGGAGCCCTTGGTTGGTTGATGAGTAGAGGGGAACACCCTGGAAAACCCTCCAAGAGTACAAGCAATAGGGTCTATGGTGCCAAATCGGTACGTCTATTAGTCCCAACAGATACAAAAAGGACATCATTGGGTGGAGGTGGAGGTGCATCATTTCACGATCTCCCGGCAACAAAATCCAGAGAACGTCTAAACTAGGAAAAATAACTGGACAGCCCACAATGAAGCCCTTGGTCAGCCGGATCCGTTCTCTACGGACCCCAGCAATTTGTAATTTTATGCATCGCGCCATGACGTGAGGCAGTACTGAATCGATTTGAATCAGTTTTGAGCGGAGTCTCCGCAATTCCTTGCAGCTTTCTGGTGTACATCGGCGAAACCCAGCTGTCATAGCTGCCCAGCCCCAGGATCCGTGCCCAGCTGTCCAACCAAGTTCGTTTCGTACTTCGCTTCACCAGAAGAAGACCCATCCAGCCATGGGGCTATGGGAACTCCCATGGGAACTCTGCAGTGGATGGGTCGACTATAGGATCTGTCCGTCCGCTTGTGGATGGGGTTGATGGCTCCAAGCTGCTATCTCTTTCCAAGGCCAGAGCTCACCTGCTTGCTGTTGATGCAGTGTTTGGAAGGCTGGACCGGGAGGCATGCTAGTGTTGGCCTCGATCTGGGTGTTTGATGGAAGTGACCAAGATTCTGATCCAGGGTTTGAACATTCTATTATATTCTATTGCTGTTTCGAATCTGTTGTTTGCTTTTGCAAACATCGATGTCACTGTCAGAAAAAGAAACAACGTATATCAACGTATCGTATGTTGTTTTCCCATTTTGCACAATCATTTTGTTGGCTCAACCAACAATTGTTCAGCTGATGTGTGACGATGAGGGTCAAAAAGGTCAGTTTGTGCCAGCTGGGTCCAAATAGTCCAATACATGTCACAGATGTATCGCATGGCCATGGCAGGAGTGCTTGTGTCTTCTCACCACGGACACGGGTGGCACGTCTCTGTGTCCTCAACGCTTCTAGGTATCGCCACGGACTTGGCGGACGGCGTGGGTGGAAGCGAAGCGCTGTCGGGAGGCCGAACGGAAGCACAGCCTGTTTCAGGCCTCAAAAGGGGGCGAGGCGGCCAGAAGTGTGGCGCACAGTAGCTTCTTGCTCCTAGTAGTAAGGCCAGGAGCGCCCCTAGTAGCTTCTTGCTCCTAGTAGCGATGCCCTTTGTTACTAGTAGCAAGAAGTGCTTGGCAAGACATGAGGATTTGACAATATTTATGCATCTATAGTGTGGGGAGAAGCCCCCTGGTTTCTGGAAGGCCTTTTCGGGGGCGTAGTCGGGGGGCCGACTATCACCATCCCCAATGTGTACAACCATATAGATTTTGTCTATTATACATTATATACTCACATGAATCCAAACATCACACAGGTTGGTCTATTTGAGGGTGTAACAGTCTTGATCTACAGAACCATGATGGAGAAACGTCTCACAGGGGAACCCTCAATACCGATGATCCTGACTTTTACCCCTGAATTGGTGCCTTCATGTCTGAAGATTTGACACCGCGATCTTGTCTGATCAAGTGCTGTTCATCATGGACTCCATGGACTGTTTCATTTCGTTCCTTCGTTCTCCAAGGCTGAAGGCCAATTTGCAGGCGGATGCAGATGTGGATGCCTTCTGCGACGTCTTGCGGATTCTCAGCCCGGGCTCGCAGTCGGTGAGCGTGACCGGTTGCAAACTTCGGCGCACGCAGTCGTGCAGCCTCAGACTTGGTCCCTGTTCTTGAACCCCTTTTTTGGGGAGCCCTATAGGGCTCCAACCATACATATCGGTTAGACCCTGGCACCCACCCCAAACCCACCCCAACCACCACCTGGGGATGTGGTTGGAGCCCAAACGGGAGTAATCCCACATTGAACCGCATGGGATCCCAGTGCAGCTTCACACCGTTCACCGCTCGGAGACTGCAGCTTATACAATCGGTGCCTCGGAGACTGAGCTCGGGACGGGTACACTCTGACGAACACATCAGATGGAAGGGGAAAATGGATGAACATGGTCACTTTTTAGACTACTTTCCCTTTATGAATAGGCCATATTCCATGTGATGTGTTCATCAGAGTGTACTTGAGGCCTTTCATTCCCGCCCCTGTGCGTTCCAGTTTGAGCACTGAAACAAAGTCGCAGGTCGGACACCTCTCCTCATTGACTTGAACTTTTCGGACAAGCGCATGGAAACCGCCGGGGCCGCAACAAGGGGCAACATCTGAGGATGTTAGAAGGTGCTGGAAGAGTTATCCAAGGGTCCCGGTCAGGGATCTTCTCTTTCCATAATTATAGACAGTTGATGAGGTCTTTTTGGAGCAGGATGTGGATGCTGCCATACTGGCATGCTGCATGTTTTGTTGCCCACATTATATCGGCAAATACTCCAGTGGTAACATTGGGTCCACCAGTCAGTTCATGTCTATTGCTCTCCAACATCTATGCCAATTGTTTCGAGCCAAACCTGCATCGCTTTGAGCAAGTCAGACGGAAAAACATCACAACATGAGCATGCGGATCCAGGGAATGTGCATTGATGTGTAGATGATCAGTTACTTAAAACCAAAGACAGGAGCTCCTGGAAGATCCTAAGTTCTTTGAGTTATGGACGAACCATTTGTCCCACCACCGTCGAAGGGAAAAGCCATGTCAAGCAAGCAGCGAGCTTGAGCATTGATTCTTCGCGTGGGCCTGCTGCCTTCACTCCCATGCTTTTGGCCTTTGGCGCCCAGCAGGTCTCGAAGGGAGCGTTTTGCACGAGCGCTCAGCATTAAGCCCACCCAGATGGCACCCATGCACCTCACCAAGAGCCACGTATGTTTTTGGACAAAGACTCCTTGCAGGTGTTCACCCCTTTTCCACCGGTCCGGGAAGGTCTTTGAACATATTCGTCCTTTCCACCATGCAGACACGCGTTTCTATTTTCCCATTCGTGCAGGAAAACACGTGTTTGCATGTTCCCTCCACACCATGTGCTTGTCCCTAAAAAACACCTATTCCAGTCATTTGCATATTCCAGTCTAGTCGTTTCTTCACACCAAAAACGCCCCTGATCTCTTGCCAGGCATCTGCGACCCGCGCGGCCATCGCCGCACCAGATTCGGCGGGGCGTTCCGCGTTCAACCGGGTCGTGTCTGGCAACACGGCACGGTCAACTGGGTCAACGAAAGGATGGCGCCACCTGGTGGAATTGGGAGAAGAACTCACGGCTGCCGCACTCCAACATCGGTCGGCGCTAGTTTGGTAATGGAGGGTACGGCACTGGCATGAATGTGTCAATTGGTCATATCGTCTTTGACTGGATCACATGCTTCACATGGTCTTACTTGGATACCTGAAGTGCCAACGGTTGGGCTTGCTGGAGTCAGCATCCTTGCCCAGAATGTACCAGGTCAACGTGGGCCTGAAATTGCTCAGGTTCACGCCGCAAACGGCTGGCCTTTGCCGTAGAAGCCCAAACATCAAACTGGTGTCCAACGCCAGTTTCCAAAGTTTCCATCAGATGTTGATCACCAGTGTCCACCACTTTCGCTTTTCGCCCCAGGTGCTACGCCAACCTTCCCCTTGTGTGCTGTTGGCCCAGCTGCTTTGCTGCTCCTGCGCCGTGATCCACGGCGCAGCCGCGGCAGCGCTACCGGGCCGTCGCGGCTGGCGAGGAGCGCATTGACGGAGAGGGACACGGTGAAGATGGTGCCTGGGCCGATGTTGCTGGAGCGGTGGTTTCAGAAGGTTCCATGGCACTGGGGGTCCCCAAGATGGCACTGCCATCTCTCAATCCACTAAAGAAGATGGACATGTCCGGCTTGCAGTGCTGCACTGCTTACAGATGTGATGAGTTTCTGAAAAACAGATGTGATGAGTTTCTGTGTTATGGACCTGCCACAAGGAGGAAAGCAAAAGCTCTCCTCCTCATGGAGGGTGTCTTAGCTCAACGGCAGAAGAGAATCACGGATGTTTCCCCAAGCAGCACGGTGCACTGTGCGATAGCCGGGTCCTCCGGTTTTGACCCACAGCCCGAGGATGGCTTCCCAGATGAGCTCTTCTACCTCGTTCCCCGGATCGGCGTGCAGCTTGGCCTTGGCCAGCGGCTTTTGGTCGGCAGACTTGGTTGGGAGGTTCATTGATATTCATGTGCAGTGCAGATTCAATAATACTGTGTATATATAGGTATAATTATACATTATAATATACAGAGAGAGAGAGAGAGATCGAAAGGGAGATGGAGAGTTTTTCAACCAATTACAACCGATATAGCTTGTTCTGGGGTTGTTTTACCATGGAGGGCTGCTTGTAGTTTTTCTAATGTTCAAGCAGAAAGCATACAGAGCCAAGCAAGGTTCTTCTTAGATGATTGAGATGTCAGAGATGTGACAAGCTCCCGAAATCTGCACAAAACATGCACACACACACGATATTTATAATCGATAGTCGTATAGATAGATAGATAGATAGATAGATTAGATAGATAGATAGATAGATAGATAGATAGATAGATAGATAGATAG